ACATCATCCACAGACCAAAGGCAACGATCCAACGATTGGTAATGAAACCAAAGACTCCCCTGTCCCTGGCCATCAGCCAGTTAACTATCTGACTATTAGTCTGCAACTATGAGAGCCCTAAGACTAAAATCAACACTCATTTTTGCCGTTAAATGAAGGTTGATCTTTAAACGCTTCCCTCCTGTGACCACGACCAATCTCCTAAACATATTATGCCGTTCACCTTTCGTTTACTGTGTTTGCAGTTCATGATTTGCTTTTGGTCCGAAGTTTTTGGTGATTAAACGTAATTATTTTCCATTGTAGCCAGTTGATGACGAGCCCTACCAGTTAAAGCTACCTAAGGTGGATATCTCGAACACGGCATATGCCTCCTTGATAAATCGTTTTAAGAAATCGAACGAAGACAAGTAAGTATTTTACTATGCAAAACATTTTCCTAGATCATTGTCGGTGTAGGTGGTTTATTAGTGCTCTGGCAGGGTAGATTTTTATATGCTTGTTCTGGACCAGCTGCTGACAAAATCGTATGGTTTGCCAATACAGGCGAACATGCGAGTCTCAGGAAGTAATTGAGATGAAGACGACTCGATCGCTGAGGCAATACTTTTACTTGACGAATAAAAGTATTGTCCCAGCGATCGAGTCATCTTCTCAATCATATGTTTTGTCTTGCCGTATGTCGAAAGTGGTCTTTATAATATCAGATGCAAACACAACGTAATGAAAATAAGTTTTCTTAGAGGACAATATTTTCGGGAGCATTGCATACTTTTGGTTGGTATATCATCTCTTTTGAGCACGATAATGACGTTTCGGTTAAGTCTCTGAGACGAGAGGAACCATGTGATAATCGCATGCCCCATGGACAGGCTTTATCCACCACGTCCACTGGTGGTGGATAGTGAGGCAACTTTCAGAGAGGGTTAGGTGCGAAGTAACCGAGCTCCCCCGAATTCGACGAATAAGCGGTGACGGACCATAAAGCGACCGTATGATTTAGCGTTAACCCGGCAGATCCATTGCGCGTGAACCTACTGCAAATCATTCGAAAGTTCGACCATCTTAT